CCATCATGACATCAGCCTTGATAAAGTTATACCAGACACATGTATCACAATCTTCATTACGATTGTACGGAAATCGTTAGAAAGTTTTAATAATGAAATTCAATGAATCAGAAGATTTGATAAATAAACTGAAATTCAATAAAGCGAAGAGAAAGAATTCACAAATAAAATAGATCCCAATGAAACATTTAATTGATCCGTTCCCTTCATATTTTGTTGACGTTCATCGGTATCTGTGATTCACTGATTACACCTGATATTATATAAATCGCTTTTTGGCTTAATATCTTTGATGTTAAAAAATTTATGTGCTTCATATAACAGTGCAATGAAAATATCTTTCCTGAGTAAAAGATTAGGAACAGAACGAAAAAGACGGTAAAGGCAAAGTCTATTTTCAAACCAATTTGAAGCCAATCGATTACTTAATACATAAAGGTATCGAATGCTTCACATGAAAGGCTTGAACAAATAAGACTGCAATCTAAGAAACGTAGGACTGCGAGCTAATAAACGGATAACGGATTAATTAAACGGTTCATTTTTTCTCCGGAACTAATTTTGTCTAAATGCAGATAAATATTTTAGTTGTATAGCTTATTAAAACGGCTCACACCCAAATTTCCTAACTTAAGTAGATTTATCGACCTGCCCACAACAGATGGGACAGGAAATATATAAATACAAATTGATAATTATTATATGGTTTGATTATTATTATTGACTGACAGTACGCTAGCACCTGGATGCTAGGTTACAAATATAAAAATCCCAATATACCCATCATGACACTTAGCCTGGCGAGTGTATACCAGGCGCATGCCTCACAGCCAAATGTGTGCAATATGGAGATAAGTTTTGATAAAATCAGTCCATAACCTTACAGGTGGAGCCCAGTTAGAAATACATTCAGGTCGAGTAAACAAGTCTGCTCTCACGGTCACCAAATGAGGATGTTGCCAATTATTTGGATTCTTTTAAAGCAAATCACCCAAGAAAGGCCGTAGTGCCATTAGCACGCAAGGAGTTACAGAGAGTGAGAGCAAGATTAAAGAGGAGTGTTTGGGAAAAGGATAAAGAGAAGGACGACGATCAAGATCAAGACATCAGAAGATGTCCATTGACATGACATTTGAATATTTGGAGATTATAGCTATCAGGGAAGCAAGTGATATGAAGAACGTTCCACTGACGGGAGGTGCAAGATAAGAAGCTGTTGGAGTAGAAGAGATAGCTATATTTAGCAGTTTCAACAGTGAAAGGGAGGGACCAAGATGCCAACGTAGTAGCGAGTTTAAATTCATGGCGTTTGGGAGCCAGTGAAAGTAGCTCGTCGGGGCAGTTGCCATGAAAATACTTGTAGAAAAGACAGAGGGAAGCCACAGCATGTCTGTGAGATGGCGACTGCAGGCGGGATGCCAGATCAGGACCTATCATATTGTATATCCGTCTCTGGATTTTGTCGAGGACCTCAAGAGGAACAGTAGTATTCCATGCAAGGATGAATGGTTGATTTGTAGATTTGAGGGATGGACCCAAGCGAGAAAAACCTTCTGGTGTGACACAGAGAGCCAACTTTTCTGTGATGTGACTATCAAGTCAGCGTGACTGTTTCAGCCTTCAAACTTTAAAGAATAATCATCTCGACATCCAGCCAGCTAGAAGCCCGTTCCCAAAAGATCCTGGATGCCAATGGAGATTAGTTGACGACTAACGGTATGTCAAATTTGCTGTATACCTATTATTTCTTTTAATAAATAAATAATAATAAAAAAATAATAATAATAAAAACTACAAGGACATTTTTGTTACCTGGTACGTACTTTCTTTGTATAATGATTCTTATTCTTTTATTTGGGGGAAACGCATCCACAATCCGTACCATTAAGCATTCTAAAAATCTACTTTTTATATTTAAATCATCCAATATGTTTGTGAGCTACTCAAGGTAGAGCGGTACCATTAAAATGGTTATAAGAAATGAATTGTGTGATACAAACGTAATAGAAGATAGTATGAAGTGAAGATTATTGGGATAAAGAGGATAGATTGACCCTTGACTTGAAGAAGTTAAGATTGTAATGTTCAGAGAAGTCTTTTCCACAAAGTAACAGTTCTTGAAAGAAATCTGAATGAAACTATTTTTACATTGAGAATACGGATGAAATAAGGATGAATCAACTCCGTGCAAGTAGCATGGAGCATTCTATCGTT